ACATATTCTCTGCGTGTGTTTGTAACTAAACTCCTCCTAAATGGCGGCTTTTTGTTCGTTCAAGATTCGAGAATGGTTTAGATTTACAATTTCATAATTTTTTGTCTTTTTAAGTTTTTAATTTTTATATTGTAGACGTGTGTCTGTCGACTCCGCTAGTTTTCTATAAAATCACAGAAAAACGTAATCAATAAATTTAATATGTGTTATGTATCTCGGAGAATCTCTCATAAATTTATAATTTTTGATTTCTCTTCCCAAGATTTGATTTCTCTTTCTACGCGAAGCCATTGAAATCAAAAAACACCCCAATTTCAATAGAGAAGACGGCCTAAAATTGTCAAACACCTGGGACCCAATAATATCCAAATTAAAACCTCAAGAAAAACAATCCGCGAAAATAGAGGATCTTTAAGTCGATACCAACTCCGGGGAAATAAATAAAGATAATGCAACTTTCTCTTCAGCTGTGATACTTTTTGACATCCAACACCTTTTGTATTCAGTCACCGCATGCTGTAAAGCACGTGAAACGTCGGATAAATTTAAAACTATGTTAAATAATTGTAAATTTATAATAATACATAACTTTAATCCGATTAAAAAGTTTTTTCTTTAAATTTATACTTTTTTCCATAAAAACATACACTATCTAGTTTTTCTAAACCGGTTGTAACTATGACGGGTATCTAAAGTGCTTTTTAAAAAGTATTTAAATGAAACTCTTTCTCTCTCTTCAATCGGCAGCTCAACTCGGAGCGTCGTGGTCAGAAAGAAAGCATCTGGAGCGGATTTTCTGTTTCCACCGGTTTCTGTCCAGCGCATCTGTTATGAGTGTATAGTTTTGAGGACGATGAGTCTTTCACTCGATCTGGTTGGTGAACGTTTGAATGAAACTAGAAGTTTAGTAATCATTAAAATAATAAGCTTTCAATTACTTAATTTAAGTAAAAACAGTTCATTTGTAAATCATCACGCGTCTTATAGTAAATACAAAGTTACTCCCTCAATTATTGCTACAATGTTCACAAAAAACGGATGAATTTTTATTATTGTGTTTAAATTAATTACACGCTTCATTACATGTTAACTGTAGTTATTGATACAAATAATTTTATCAACTATATTCATTGTTTATTTCGCCAATTATCATATATTATGCATGATTAGACTAGCGATTATTCAGCTATAATTATTCAATTCAATCTGGTAATTGGTTTTATTGCTTTTTACATTTTCATTACATCTGTCAGTAGGTAACATGTTTACTTGTAATGAAACATGGACATTTTTGTATCTGTTTCATGATGAATTCTTTTTTCTAATAGGCAAGTAGGTGTTCAGCCTTCTGCACCTGACACATGCCGTCGACTTGGTGTGTCTGAGGCAATTTCCTCACCGTGCGAGCGACTATCCAATGCGCACATAGATATAGACCGTTGGAGCTGGGGTTCGAACCTACGACATCAGGGATAAGTCGCACGCTGATACAACTAGGCCAACTCTGCTCTTGAAATAACAGGACATCCATGAGATATATTTCTTATTTGTTCTGACTGTACGTTGTACTTTTAAATGTGTTAAAATATTTCATGTGTTTTTTAGCTTTAGAAAAAAGTACACCTCGGTTCAAACTAGCTGTTGAAATTGCTACGAATCCTATATATTTCCTAACCATTTGTTATAACGTAAGCAAATTACGTAGGATACCCTCACCTACTTATAGTTATACTAACTCTCATTATTAATTAATTAAACCCGTTAGAAAAATTAATTTTATAACTGAAATATTGAAGAAGTATAACGAAACTTTGGCTTGAGCCAAAAGGATTAACAATTAGAAGACCGGAGTTGATTCTTTATTTTCAACTTTTACTAAGAATAGCCATAACTAAATAGACTTAAAAAACGATTCTTTTTAATTCCGTCATAAACAATTTTTATGCAAATTAAGGCAGTAATTAAAGTAGAGGTTTATAAATATATTATAACTGTAAGTTTGGTTTGTTTTTAGGTCTTAAGTTTAAAAAATAATCTATTTAAGAAAAATATCACTGCATAGACTTGGGAAGTTTACGATTCAACATATTGTATTTTCTATTTTATTGTATAGTTATAATTTGTTCCTTACAACTCTATTCATGTAAATTATTTTTTCGACCAAAATTATTAATGGTATAACTTAAAAAAATCTGTTATCAAAATTAGCTTTAGAAAATATTTAGCACTCACATAGAGTTATTGTGTTATATGACTGGCCATATGAGATTCCGGAAAGCAGTATTTCCTTAAGGACAATTTTCTCATAAAACTTTACGAATCCGAAGCTTAAGTTGATTAGTCAATATTGGAGTAAAATATCTACAAATACTAGACCATATTGAACATTTATGACAGATATTATAACGTATACTTAAAAACGGCAAAAGACTAAAGACTAACTTCTATATTGTTCCTTTGGAGTAAAGACTCGTAAAACATGGGATACAATAACACAGGCTTTAATAAAAATTGAACTAGGCTCCTGGTACAGCATATAAGGATCGTAATACAGCGAGAAAATCCTGCCAGCATGAATCAGGGTCTTTTTTTTTTGATTCATTTAGTAAATTATAAACTTAGTTTACGAAATGTATTGGCGATATTCACGACGAGAATAATATTTTGTACATCGTATATTTTATTAAATTTATTGAAACAAATTAGGAATTTAGTAGTAGTAGTAATAATATAAAACGAAATATATTAAACGCTGAGTAAAATTATGCTTTTACTCGTGGATTTACAATAAAATTTAAAAAAGAACATCAAATTTTTTTATATATTCAGCTTTCACAAATAGAAATAAATCAAAATAGGTTATATTAAATATGTTATTATAAAATTATATTATGTTAAGTGTACAAGTGTGTAAGTTATAGTTATATCTAACAGAATATGTTTCTCTCTATCTTTATAAAATTCCTAGGTTTATCCTTTAATATTGTACTTCTAATTTTACTAATGCTGACTTTCTTATAGCCCTTAGCGTATATTTTTATTTATTTTAATAATCCATTTAATATATTTCATATTTCCGTGCCAATATCAGTAATATATATAAATATTTTTTGTTAAGACATACATAAACTTACCTTATAAAGTCACTTCGTACTATATCATAACTTTGTACCAACACGTAAGCCGCACTGCCACGCGGGAAAATCTTCAACTGCTGGAGAGCGCGCGAAAACTCTTCTACTTACGTCCAAATTCGGCCAATCAGAGGCCTCCATCGCCTCCGCACGTTAGCATCAACCAATTACGTTAAAGGGAAAACACTTAAAAACTTTAATACGCTTTTCATGTCGTTTGGTAAGGCTAGGTTTACATTTATCATGTTATTAAATTGAGTGCATATTATATACAGATCCAATAATTCACATTTAAGTAAACGTACATTGCGTATTATATAAACATTTAATTTTATTATATCTTGTCTTCTTGTATTTTGTTGTTCTTGTATCTTGTTCGTTCAAGGTGATTTGTTAAAAATCATTTCAATGATTTTGCAAGGATTGAGATTAGAAAAAGAATTCACCAGAGTGGCCAGTAGCCAGTAAAATTATTGAGTAGTGGTATATTTTCTTATATACGTTATTTGGATAATGAAATAAATTACCTACTAGCTGCTAGCCGCGCATCGTATATTTGGAAATAGGCTAAATATATTCGATTTTAGTGTTCATACTCGATTATTGGAAATAATATAAATTAAAAAAAATAGTTAATAAATAATACATATAATCGTTGGTCTAAAAAATGAATTATCGTCATAAATAAAAACCTTTTGTGTCTCCCTCTTGATTATAAAAAAATCACAATCAGATGTTTTGAGGTGTTTTCCATTTAAATTCGTATTCATTGTTCTTATTATTATTTGCCTTCATAACAGGCTAAAGTCTATAAACCATAGCCCCTTGTCTTACATATATTTTTTCTCTACAAAATTCTACAATATCTAGGGATATAGACTCAACCCGCTCAAGACAAATAAAATATAGTCTTTAATTCAAAGGCATAGAGTTTATTCCTTTACGAAATTATTAATCAAAAACGATAGTAAAACTAGATGGAGACAAATTAAAGCTGCTGAAAACTATAATATACGCCTAATAACGAATGACGAACTGATTATGACTTTGCTTTCAGATATTATAAAGATCAAAACCGAATAGAATGATAATATTGTTAGAATCTACATCATTGGACATCTAGTGACAGCATTGAATACTATGATCATAATGTCAAAAAATTTATTATAATGTTACCAAATAACTAAAATAGATAGCTGTAAACAGTAATAAAATGATCAAAACATGACAAAAATATCTTTAATATTTTATATTTTTTAAATAATTTTCTTAAATTAAATATTTTCAAACTATAAGGAATGACAATACCAAAAGTCATTTATCGCGTCACATGGGATATTACTATAAAACTGCCAGGGACCTGATGGTCGGAAAGAACCATAATGAAAAACGTGTTTGACAATTGACAATTGACATTTAATTCTTGGAGTTTGGCGGGTGGCGCTAGTACTTCGGACTTCCCTTTTTGTTTCATTGTAGAATACTAGAATTTAGAAATGATAATTATTTCATTTAATGAAACAAGTGATCTTGAATCTTAAGTGTGAACCCTACTGTTTATTACTTAATCCTCTTACCATAACGCTCTATAAGGTGAGTAAAAATAGTTTTGTTAATAGTATACTTAACCACAACTTAGCATTAGCTGCACCGGGAGCCAAGCATCCAAATTGCAAACGCGTAATCGTTATTGTACTTTCTAAATTTTAATTTCTGATAAATAAACTTCAGTTCTATGTTTATTAAGATCATTTTGCGTTTTAATTATAACATGGTTCTGAAACTAACCCTACTACGCGTCTAAATCGATGTTTAAGTGTTGTGTAAATTATTGTGTGTGTAACCAGTGCTCCAACATATTCCAGAATGCCCAATGACAAAGATGGACCATTGCCTGAAGGATGGGAGATGAGGAAAAGCCGATCTACAGGTATGGCTTATTTTCTCAACACTTATACGAAGAAGTCTCAGTGGGAACGGCCTGACGCCCCTGCAGACCCAGGTGAGGTCAGATGCAGCCACATTCTAGTAAAACATGCGGGTAGCCGTCGTCCTTCCTCGTGGCGTGAAGAAAACATCACTCGTAGTAAAGAAGAGGCTCTGGAAATCCTAAAGGGATATAGAAAGCAAATTGTTGCAGAAGAAGCAACATTTGTTGATATTGCTTCAAAGTACTCTGATTGTTCTTCAGCTAAGCGTGGTGGTGATCTTGGTCTGTTTGGTCGAGGACAGATGCAGAAGCCATTTGAAGAAGAGGCTTACAAGTTAAAAATCGGTCAGCTCAGCAAGCCTGTTGAAACTGACTCTGGAGTACATATCATTCTCCGAACTGCTTAATTTGTCTTGAAATGATCTTATAATTTTGCAAGGTTAAGAATGACATTTTAAAATAAAGTAATGTATAAAACTATTATTGCATTATAGCTTTATACATGTAATAATATAAAGTAGTTAAGAAATATTTGTTTTGTAAGGTTAAAAATGAGCCTGCCCAGTACTGTCTATGTATAAGCCGCAAATAATACACTGCCAACAATTTTTTACCATTCAAATCATTATTTTAAAGAAACATCTTAAGTTAGACTTTTTATATGGATTTGAGTCATGTGATATTTGAAAATGTTTGTACTAAAAGAAATTAACATGTATTCCTAGCCAAGGATTCAAGGCCAAGCTTTAGAAGTAATATGATCACAAAATGTGTCCAAGAAAAGTTGTATCTCGGTTTATAGGAGGTTTTTAATGTATGTGCATAGTTAATAGTCACTTTAATACTATATTATAAGTTAAATGTTGCTACATTAGTAAAGTTCTTTGAATATTACAAGGTATAAGTTTAAGTTTCTGGCAAGGGTGTGGCTACATTTATAACATTTTTATGCAATTAATTTGGTAGATCCATTAAACACTATCATATCTAGGTTTTTAATATAATATGAATATAGGTAACAGTTTAAAAAGATTAATTGAAAGCAGCCAAAAAGTTGTTAGTGTGTAACATGTATACAAATTTTGTTAGTGTGTATGTAACATGTATACATAAGCTTGTTTTTGACTTATCAAGCAATAGATTGAAAAATTTAATGTTGTACAGTTGGCGCCATTACTCTAAATGAGTAAGAAATATTTAGTCGAAATAAGTGGCTTAAATTATACTGGTAACTAAAACTTAATTTCTAGATATTATATAAAGTAATGTTAAAAAATTTACACCCATTCTTTTGAATTTCATACTGTAAATGAGTAGTGGCGCCATCTGTTTTGTGATTAGGTAAAATAATAATTTTGAACATCTAGTTAAGTGTATGGATTTAATAAATTTCATGTAGAGGAATTGTGTATTTTATTATAGTAATCTATAAACAAATGCAACTACAACATTTATTAGGTACAAACAATGCAATTTGATTCTTTAGCTGAATGGTAATAGAACTATAATTAGTTTATGTGCCAGTAAAACAATCACTGCATATAGGTCATTACAGGACCTTATTCTTATAAAAAACATTGCATAATACAAAAATATTTTCTACAATCAGTTGCATCTTTCTAAACATTGCACCAGTTGGGTAGGGAGCAAAATAAACCTGATTAATTTAATACTGTTTTATTACTAACAATTTGCGAATAGATAATATTTGGTAACATAGATAAACGTAATTTAGACAATAGGACATCACAAATTGACTATAGCAAAAGTTTACACATTATAATCGCATCAGTTCATGCCTTCGGCAAACCCAGCCTTTGCCGAAGACAATTATTTCTCCTGAATATTAAAATGTTGCATTAAAAATTTTGTTTTATATTACTAAATTTGGAACATATGTAATTAAAAAATCTGTTATACCTATTAATTGTTTTCACAAGTAGGTATACAGATTTCACAGTTTAACTGTTTATGACTAATATTTAAAACATCTTGATATTGGGAGTTTAGGAGTGCCAGTTGTCTTTGGTGCCGCTTTAATAACTCTTTATACATCTTCGTTTTCACGATTTCGAATCAATACAATGCTATCCAAAGTTGAATCCTTTACGTTTTGCGCCGCCGGTGTCCAAATAGGTCCAATGATAGGAGGGGATCGCTTTCCACCCCACGCACTAAATTTAACTTTCCTCTTACCATCTTTCTTTAAATTTACGTCTAAATAGGGATGCCCCAATTTAAAGTATTTCGGGAGGTTTTCCATGAATGTATTGAAAGGGAGCGCGTCCTTAGCAGTTTTTTCGTCAAATTGAGTACTAAGAGCGAGTATTTTGATTGGGTGTCGCTTGTCGAGTGATGGTACGATCTGAAACCCGGCCAAATCCAATCTTCCTTTAGGTGAATAGTTCGATACGATTCGAGTTAATTCTGGTACTGAGGTTGAAAAAATTACCTTGGAAGCTTTTGCGCCTGGTTTGTAAATCATTTGTCCGCTTCGCTTTCCTCCCCAAGGACTGAAACGAACTCGCTTCGGCATACTGGGTTCCCTTATGGCTTGAGACCGTTTCCAGGTCCACATATGTTCGATGGCATCCCTTTTTCCACCCCAGGGACTAAAGCTTCTTTTCTCTATGGAATTGATCAAATCAGTAGCATTTTCTTCTAGCCTTCCAGACAACCCTTTGATAATGAATGGATTGGTTTTATCGTCGTTGCGTATGTAAAGTGTTTTGTCTAGATCAACAAGATTAGGTTTCCAGGGTTCTGCTGGGCCGCTTTGATCGTCAACTGTGCGTCGCTTTCTTTGAACTTCCGTTTGATCGTGGTTTCGTGGGTAAAACTCGCTGTGGTCAACATTTTCATCATTTTGTATCGTTTCGTAGTCGTTTCTCGAAGGGTAGTTGAAGTAGTTCACGTAAGGAAGAGGAGGAAAGTGGACGCTAGAGTCTAAGGGGTCCATAAAGGTTTCTCCATCCATCCCAGCGGAGTTGATGTACTGTAGGCTGGCTGACCCGATCCATGAGATGGTTATGATGATCCAGTAATGCGTCATGATCCTGAAAAATTTTTTAAAATGATTTGACATGATTTAAAACGTTACTGAGTTGGTTTCATAATATAAAAATTTGCCGAAAATCCTATTAAATTTTTGCTTAAAAAAAGTAGAAACTTATTTAAGTTATAGGTATATATTTAAAAATTCTGATTAGTATATTTGTTTAGACTTAAATTATGTCTTAAATATTGTCTTAGTAAAGACACATGTATAAAAAAAAATTAAATTGTTATCGCTGTGTACTTTAAAATTATTAAACATCTATTATGTTAGCCATAGCTATGTATTTCTCATCGTTTAAACTTAAGATGTAATGATATGATAAAAATAACAAAAACTTTTCTACGTGAGTTATGCGAGCATAAGAATAATATTTTAACTGCGATGTTAGTTTTCTTTAGGTTGAAGTTTTTCGACAACTTCGAAGGAATTTTCTCCAATCGTACATCAAGGCACAAATTTTCTGTTGGATCGCGTATATTCGGTTAAAACAACTGACCAATATTATAAATTATAATAGTAAAAACATGATTATTAATTTAATTTGATTAACAGATTGCAGACAGAAATTCCAAACGGAAATATAAAACTTAAATAATTCAGGTTATGTCCATATTTATTATACGGCATTAAATTATATAGTTTTTTTTAAATATAAAAGGAGATTCATCTGATGTTAAGTGATACATGCCGTGAACTCTCACATTGCCAGAAGACTCGCAATTAAATGTATCTTTCTCGATTATGTAAAGTTGTAAAAGATCCTTTGTGGCACAAAATATCAAATCTAACTTTTACCTTAAGAAAAATTAAATTAGCATCGTAGCGTCAGCTAGATTTCTTAGGAATATTTAAAATAAAAAAATATTGAGGCCAATAACTATGTAATACTCATATAAGACAAATAATTAACACCAGTCAAGCCCACCGTCTGTTCGTATTAAGTTCTTACATAAAGACATTTGATCAGTTCACCGATTGAAATTCGATTCTTGTAGGTTCATAGGATCTTATCCATTTATAGGTATTGATAAACTGAAAAATGAAAGTCCTCAAGTACTGTAATCATTTAAATTCAATGAAACGAAAATTTATCGCCGTTAGAACAATATTGTTTCATGCATTTCTTTGAAGTTTTTCTTTTGTCGCCGTCGGTAAATATTGATGGTTGTAATAGCTCAGATGGGTTCACCCTTTAGTTGGATCGCAATTAATTTTGTTAAGTGCCGTAAGCCTTTTCACATTAATGAACGTAGGTATCCTTATATTCAAGTGCCTGACTTTAAATGTATAGAGAAATGTACTTCAAAACTGAAATGTATTTCAAAACCTAAACATTTAGTGGTGTTTGATTTTTTTTCTTTAATTGTAACTCATCTAAGGTTAAGATATTAAGATTTCGGTAGAAAACACATTTAAGTTTTCTATCGAAAATATTTAATTTTTGAGTGCTCTATGTTCAAGTTTTTAACTTTATGCTCAGGAAGTTCAAGACCTAATAAAACAAATATTACAAAAGTACCAAAATGGTAATAAAGAAAGTTCACAGTGAAGAGAACTTTGTCTAGGGGAAACTTTACTAAAATAATATTATTGCATCGTCTGTGTAGAATTTACAGGAAATTTCATAGTTCCATATTTCTAATTATAAATTAGTACGTACGTTTAGGTACGTTTTATTTTGAAATGAAGCTTTGTTTCTAAGACTAATTAAGTTCTACTTCATTCGTCTATTACGCATGTCGTAATGGTTGCAGGCAATGCTTACAATTTCCTTGTAAGGTCAAAAAGGTCAAAAACTTTAAAATAGAATTAAAAAGAGCGGCGGAGAATTTCTTCCAGTTCTTCTCGTCTGCTCTACTGACTTGACTTGGGAACTGCTAGTAAATGTAAATTTATTTATTTATTCTTAGTTTTGTATAAGTGTACATAGTTACAATACAGTAATTTTGATTTTTACTTTTAATTGACTTCAAAAATCTTACAACAAAATACGTAACTGAAATAACAGCTGACATGACCGTGATTATGAGGATACACATGCCCTAATAATATTTATGAAGTTATATTAATTTTAAATACATAATAATAATAAAAACTTTATTTATGACAAAAGGGTTGTGACAGAATTCATATATCGCTAGTCCCCACACATCAACAAGTTGTATGAGTATTAAATATATACTTTGCTGAGAAATAGATTAGTGACACAGAAATTACCTTAAACTGATTAAGGAATATAATAAGAATTTATACTTTACCCCGCCACAATGAATTCATCAATTCACAGGCAGACACGAGAGTGCGTTTTTTCGGTAAGTGTGACATACCGTCCCTACCAACCCGTAAATATTATTTTGCCGGCAATCTTATCAAGGTCCTCCGGTTATACCGCAAGATCATTAACTAACTCTAGTTTTTAATGCATGAATTACTACTAGCCTTCGACGCTACATTTAATTCACATAGAGTCTTGAACATTGTATACTATTTAGTATATCTCTCCGTTCAGTAGTAGCACTAAGGAAGTTAATCTAGAAGCGGTCTGGTTTGCATTTGCACTTGAATATCACTTGTGGTTCGGTTAGTTAGGCAGTGATAAACCGCAAAATCTATTTGCTCATTTATCACCTCTAAACAATACACACAATCTGTATCAGTCAATCATTAGAAATTTTTAAATTCCCTCAACAAGGATATTTACTGTTGCTTATTGTATTAGTAATAGTATTTCAGCGAGTGTTTAGAAGCGCGTTCTCTAAAAGTTTTCCTTTCTATGCATAATTATTAATCGCTTTGTAATCTATTCGTTGCTTAGCTGGTTTCGCAATTAGCACATAACGTATTTTTGAGGAAATTTATTTTCCATATTGCAACGGTCTCATTCACAAACTAACTTAAGACACACATGCTTTATCATTCTAGTGTTACATTGCCGAAACACTAACCATTCATACAACCATTTTTTGACAGAAAATGCGTTGCGTTCCCACGGCGCGATTGCCTTGTGGTTGAGGATTATGTGGGACTACTGGTACTGCTCGTTACTGTTCATACCCATTAAAACCCCACGGCGCTACCAGCAATCGCCCAAGGCGGGACACAGTAACGGCGTAGCAAATTTCCGCATTATTCATATACCATGACTGAACATTTTCAACCTTTTGAGGCTACAAGGTTATTACTAAATCAGTTAGTAATTTAATTCGTATAATTGTACATATAAACAACTGAAGATGAACTTGGATCCACAGAATATATATTCGTACGATACACAAAATTCCTAATTTATAAAACACAAACATCAAACAGCCAAGTTAATACAACCCCCTTTAAAAGTCAAAGAGTTTACGAAAACATGGAATTAAGTTGTAAAACAATATATTTAGAACATCGTATGTAAACTTTAATTAAGAGAATATCGGGTTTATCCGTCTTTTGATTTTGAGTTATATTTTAAATGAGAGATTTGGTATACGCTTCATTTCTTATTCATGCGTTTGGCACTACTGACTATGATGGGATTTGACCGTGTGTAAATTTTCCGATAATAAACATAATTTTTTCATGATTGTTAGATGCTTAAGCAATATGTGTAGTCCAAATCAAAAGTACATAAAGAAGCTTTTGCAAAATACCTCAATTATGATAAATTTATGCATAGATATCGAAGAACCTTTGAAAAGATGTTGATGAACTATACATTTATCCCAATTGTACGTAGTAAGCATTCTAAGCGTTAGTATTTTTTTTATTATAAAGTTTTATTTTAGGTAATTTTCCCAGTTTCTAGAATGTAGACTTTGTGGCTTAGTTTTTAAAATAAAGCATTTTGATTGAACTCCAGTGCCTCTGACCTACAACTAATTATTCAATGTGACACTTCTGCCTAATCTTTCGTCATGTTCAAAATAGCTAAGATTTATTGCTTCAAAAACCCGTCTGTCTAATTTTTAAGCGTATTTAAAAAAAAGGAAATAATTTCACAATTCTACTTACATTCTTTATAGACGATATACTAACGAAAGATTATTTGAATTAACGAGTTTCTTATTGTATCTAAGAAACAAACGTATACGCTCATAAATACGCAGACAACGTTAGTATTCGTTATAAAAAAATATATTTGTATAATAATTTATTTTAATTATTTATACAAGGCATAGTACTATTTCAATAATCTTTTCTATGACACTTAGATTCAATAGAATAGAAACGAATAGAAACGAATGAAAAATATAGTACTAATAAATATATTTGATTATTTATTGGCGGTATTTTATTGATACATACATATAAAAGTAGTAACATCGAATGAATTCCGTAGCACCGTAGCCTCGCGAAATTGGCATATTTTTTAAAAAATAATTAATTAGGGACAGTTAATATTTATTTACCAATTCAATGTTAGCTAATTGAATTGTTAAAGAGTTTTTAATTTACATTACTCCAATATGTTATTTGTATCCAAAAGTTATATCTTGAAATAAAAACACGTGAATATTTTTATATCAGATGAATACAGTTTTAAACTTACGTTTTAACATGAAAAGCTGTTGGCTAATAGTTATCACAATGCAGCGCAATAAAGTTTTTTCAATTAGTTAAAGCAAATTGCATATTGATTGTTTAATTAAAATTATCATTTTATAATCATTAATATTATATTTATAAAATATAAATTTATTACACACAAATCCTATTTCCGTAATTCGTTCGTATTTCCGTTTGTTGTTCTTATATTCGTCATTAGTTGCAATTTATCGATTTAAAAAAAAGAATGTTGAAAAGCACTTACCTTATGTATCGTTATCCACTTTATGATTCATGTAGGTCTATTATTTTGGACAGTGTTCACTCTACAACGATGCTTTGGTATATGGTGGTGAGTTTTCTCTGCGATCTCTTTTATACATCCATGAGGCTTCGTAGCGTCAGCGTAACAGGCGATTAATTCGTGGTTAGATTTGTATGAAAATTTAAATTTGCATTTCTAG